GCAGATGATATGATCCTATACACAGAAAATACCAGAGACTCTACAAGAAAGCTACTGGAGCTAATAGAAGGATTTAGCAGAGTGGCGGGGTACAAAGATTAACATACAAAACTCAGATTCCTCTACACTAACCAAGACAACTCCAAAAAGGAAATCAGGAAAACAATACCATTTACTATTATAGCACAGAGTACAACTGCCCCATTGGGTTTTGAAGGCTGTAAATCTTTACAGAAGCAGACTGCCACATCTTTCTCCCGTAGAGCTGCTGGTGGGTTTGAACTGCTGACCTTTTGATATGGCCCCTCAAAAGATAAATACTTGAGAATAAACCTAACTAGGGATATGAAAAACTTATACAAAGAAAACTACAAAACACTACTCCAAGAAATCAAAGAGACCTGAATAAATGGAAAAACACTCCATGCTCATGGGTAAGAGGGCTTAACATTGTGAAAATGACAATACTACCCAAAGCAATCTACAGATATAATGCAATCTCGATCCAAATTCCAACAACATTCTTTAACTAGAAAAAATTATCAACTTTATATGGAAAGGAAAGAGGCCCTGAATAAGTAAAGCATTACTGAAGAACAACAACAAAGTAGGAGGCCTCACACTCCCCAATCTCAGAACCTACTATACAGCCGCAGTAGTCAAAACAGCTTGCTCCTGGTACAACAATAGACACATAAGACCAATGGAACAGAATTGAGAACCCAGAAATAAATCCATCCACCTATGGACAGTTAATCTTTGACAAAGGGTCAAAATTCATTAAATAGTTAAGAGACAGTCTCTTTAACAAACAGTGCTGGCAAAACTGAATATCCATTTGCAGAAAAATGAAACAGGATCCATACCTCACACCATACACAAAAACTAACTCAAGATGAATCAAAGACCTAAATGTAAAACCTAAAACCATAAAGATCATAGAAGAAAAAACAGGAGCAAACTTAGCAGTCCTAATTTATCACATAAACAGACTATCAAGCATAACTACAAAAGCATAAACAACAGAAGATAACTAGACTATTGGGACCTCCTGAAAATCAAGTACTTATGCTCATCAAAAGACTTTTCCAAAAGAGGACACACAGACTGGGAAAAAAATTTTGGCTATGACATATCTGACAAGGGTCTAATCTCTAAAATTTATAGAAAATTCCAAAAAACTTAACAACAAAAAGACAACTCAGTTAAAAAACGGGCAAGGACATGAACAGACACTTCACCAAAGAAGACATCCAGACAGCCAACAAATACATGAAGAGATCCTCGTGATCACTGGCCATTAAAACCTACTGCCGTCGAGTCGATTCACTAGCCATTAATTAGAGAGATACAAATCAAAACTATAATAACATACCATCTCACAGCAATAATAATGGCACTGATGAAAAAAAGAGAAAACAACAAATGTTGGAGAGGCTGTGGGGAGACTGGAACTCTCATACACTGCTGGTGAAAATGTAAAATGGTACAACTATTATGGAAATTGATATGGCACTTCCTCAAAAAGCTACAGATAGAAATATCACATGATCCACCAGTCCCACTCCTATGTATATATCCTAGAGAAATAAGAGCCATGACATGAATAGACATATATGCACACCCATGTTCACTGCAGCATTACTTACAATAGCAAAAAGATGGAAACAGCCTAAGTGCCCATCAGTGGATGAAGGGATAAACTGTGGTACGTACACACAATAAAATACTGTGCAATGTTAAAGAATAATGATGAGTCCACGAACCATCTCACAACGTGGATGAACCTGGAGGACATTTTGCTGAGTGAAATAAATAATCACAAAAGGACAAATATTGTATGAGATCATTATTATAAAAACCCAAGGAAAGGTTTACACATAGGAACATTCTTTGATGGTTACCAGGGATGGGAGGGGGAGGGAAAACCACTAACTAGATAGTAGACACATACTAACTTTGGTGAAGGGAGAGATAATACACAATACGGAGGAAGTCGGCACAACATAATCAAGGTAAAGGAAGACACTGAAAGGTATGCAAGAATAAAAGGCAACACAGTAAAGAGTAATACATATACAATCCTACAACAACAGCAATAACAATAATGTATGAGCCAATATATAGGTAGATATGTAAGCTGAACAGGGGCAGGAGGGCATATGGAATTACACCCATGTACACATATATGTGAACCTGCTGCAAATATACCCAATGTATGCAACAGTGTGTACAACGGACACAATCATGAAAACTACTTAGCCATAACCATACATCTCCTGGGACTGAGATACTGGGCTTGAGGGCTAGGGACCATCGTCTTGGGGGACATCTAGGTCAACTGGCATATCATAACCCATACAATGCTCTACTTCCTACCTTGGTGAGAAGTGACTGGGTTCTTAAAAACTTGCAAGGAGCCACCTAAGACACAACAATTGGTCTCTTCCCATCCAGAGCAAAGAAGAGTGAAGAAAACCAAAGATTCAAGGAAACCATTAGTCCAAAAGACTAATGGACACATGAACCATGGCCTCCACTAGCCTAAGACCAGGAGAACTAGATGGTGCCTGGCTACTACTACTGACAGCTATAACCAGGGTCATAATAGTAGGTCATAGACAGAGGGGGAGAGAAATGTAGGACAAAATTCAAACTCATAAACTTATAAGACCAGACTTAATGGGTTGGATAGACTGGTGGGACCCCTGACACCATGGCCCTTAGACACCCTTCAAACTTGGAAATGAAATCACTCCTGGAGATCACATTATAGCCATACAATAGACAGGCCTATAAAATGAATAACCCCAGTGAGGAATGTACACCTCAGAACAATCAACCATACGAGACCTAAACGGTAGCATTTGCCCAAAAAGCAAAGTTCAGAAGGAAGGTAGGAGCAGGAAAGCAGGGCAAAAGGACACAGGGAACCCAGAAAAGAAGGGGGAGGGTGCTGACACATTCAGAGGTTTACAACCATGTCACGAAACAAGCTGTGTATAAACTGTTGAATGGGAAACTAATTTGCTCTATAAACTTTCACGAAAACAACAATAAAATGTTCAAAAAAAAAAAACCCAAAACTTTTGAATTTTATGATTCCAATTATACATATATAAAAAATTTCTGGAAGTAAATACATAAAATGTTAACAGTAGGTATCTCTGGATAGTGGTGTTTTCACTGAGTTAAATTTTTCTTTTTCCTTTTCAGAATGTTCTAATTTTTTTCTACAGTGGATATTATTTTTAAAAAGAGAAAAATGTTCTCGTATTATGCAAGCAGTGTCACAGCACCATCATCCGTCCATTCATCAGCCATCCGGAATCTCGTGCCTTCCTTGTGCAAAGCACAGTGCTCCAGTCTTGCAGGCATGCACGTGATAAGGGATACTACCCACAGATTCTGAGGGCAACACAGGCTGATGGGTCTTGGGAGGATTTCGTGCAGCACGGGGCACCTTAGCAGGGCCTGAGAAGCTGGCGAGGGTTTCTATCATCAGACACGCAAAGAATGGGGGAAGTGAAGAGGGTATTTCATGCGCAACAAACAATATGAGAAAAGGCATAGGGGTGGAAAAGATTTAAAAAATTAATATACAAACAAGATGTAAAAGCATTCTAGGACCTTTTCTTTGGGAACTGTCTTTGAGTGAGTTTTAGAGTCCTAGAAAAAGTCTCCCTTATCTCATTTTTGGCCCCAAATCATCTCACACACCAAGGCTCCTCAACTAGACTAGGATGACTCATGATTTTTCCAGAAAACATTGTACTGACTTTCAAAGGCCAGAAAGCTGCGTACGTTAAGGAGATTCTAGAGTGTGGAGGGGCTCTGCCAGCAGTCCTGAGAGGGGCATTTCTAGAAACTGTGTGGGAGTAGGTCTGTAGCCTTCTCAGGGGACAGACACCTTGTCTACAAGCCTGGTTAGATGTATGAATTCTGGGTGAGGGTGCATTATATGACACAGTCCCATTCTGTATATATTGAGGCTGAAGTTATTCTAGATTCATGATTAGGTCTTCAGTGATTCCAGTAGAAAATGGTCCTGGTTTTGCAAAAATTGCATCTGGGCAATGAACGTGTGCCTAAGTGAGACAAGCTCTTTGCCGGCAGGCCTCCGATTACACCAGAGAAATTGTCTCCCCAGGGCCTGGTGCATCTCTGCTCTACGGTCACCTGCAGATCAAGGTCTGTACAGGGAACATAAAAAATCTAGGGGAGGTAGGGCAATACATCTTCCTGGACTGTCGATTTTGCTCAAAAATTTCCTTTGAGGGGACAGGTGGGGAGGGAAATATTAAATAATTTACTTGACAGGGCCCTAGAAATTCATTTAACCAGGGGGTTAAAAGTGGTCACAGGGAAAGAGTTCTTCTACTCCTTGGTTGGAAAGTCTGTCAGTGCATTCTGCCCTATCTCAGAACAGCTTTTCTGTCTAAATCTGCGTGAGAAAGGCTTACTTATATATGTATTTTTGCTGCCTACTCATTATAATTAATACTGTTAATTAACTTTCCCCCAGAGAACTTTTTCCATCAGTTTATCAGAGGATAAAATGATTATTTTATACAACTCAGCCTCTCCTGTATAGGAGTCAGTTTCTGTTTCTGTCAAGTACTTTAGCGCCACCTCGAGTGCTGAACAGGAAGGGCAGATCTTTAAAACTGTTCTGGACAAGGGCATCTCCATGAGTTGCAAGCCTCATGCACAGTGTTAGCCTGAGCAGAGACCACAGAGCATTGAATCCAACCCCTCAGATTAAAGAGAGGAAATCTGAAGTCTTGTCCAAAGTTACACAGCAACACTGGAACTGGTGTTTGGGACCCCTCCTGGCCTAGCACTTTTCACTCTCTTAACACCCAGAGAATGCAAGAGGGATCGAATGGAGCCTCTACAGGCTGCTAGAAACGGGAAGGCTAACATCATTTATACTTGCGACTACTGATCCAGCCCCACTCCTTGCTGCTTAAGCCACAGTGTGTGCCCATGTGTCTCACCGGTAGGTGTCTTCTGAGTAGGTTTTCTGAACATAGTCCTGCAACTCCATCTGTGCCTTTTCTTGGAATTTTTCAATCTGGCTTGTGCTGGTCAAACCTGGATGATCTGAAAACAGAAAAGTGCCCCCAAATACCCATTTGCATTTGGAAAGCCTTGCTGCAGACTTCTTTACTATTTACTTTAGTCAAATTTCTGGCAAATTTCTCACGTACAATATACTGAACTCTGAAGGCTGATCCAGTTTGGATGTTATTGTCTCAGCAGCCCCACTTGGGTTGGTTCTGGACATCTGGCGTCCTACTCCAGGATTTTAAAACTACCACATGAAATTTTCTTTCTAGATATTTAATCATATAATTTCTCCCACTTTTACTAGCTACTTCCTTGTTTGTAAGTGGAGGGGTGTGGAGGAAGATAAGGCAAGCTGCGTTCCAGCCTAGTTATGAGGACAACAGTCAGCTCAAGCAGCCTCTTTGGAGGCTTAGAGAAAGGAGCTGGGGGCTTGTGAGTTAGGGCACCCCTGCTGCTGCTTCTTCATCTGCTGCGATCATATCTTTTAGCATGCCCTGTGGCAGCTGCTGCTATACACAGAGACTGTGAGTAAACTTGTGGCGTTTCAATCTGTACTAGATTACAGATGCTAATAAAAGAGGAAAAGATACTGGGTGGTATGTTCTGTTTTGTATGTATGCCATAGTTTCATTTGAGCAATGGTTTAATTAGGACACAGATTCAATCTAAGTAGTATATGAAGTTACCAGGTACTATAGCATTTTTTTTTTTAGCTTTAGAAGCAAGAATTTAAAGCACTTTATGTTAGCTGGCAAAGTACACCTATTATGAGAATATTTGTTAACATACAATCTGGCAGGGCTCTTTCTACACCGCTGAAGACTCGACAACACGTTCATGTTCACAAATAGCAGTAGACACAGGTGGAGAACTGACATGAGTCACCACCGCATATCTTACCGGGGCTAAAGAGAACTATAGCTTTAAGGTATGCATACTCATAGCCGTCTATATCCAGCTTCGCCATACTGTTACAGAACTCCTGCAGCTTCCAGATATGTTCCATAACTTGCTTTATCCGGTCACCAGAAAGTTTATCTAGAAACCAACATTACAGATCCTCTGAGAAATGCTGACAGGAACAACAAAACCAGGTTATTCAAGGGGCCACAGATTGAAAGAAATGGGAGAATAATTTCACTTTTTTATTAAAAAAAAAAAAACCAGTATCTCCAGATGGTCAAGAACCTCATCTTCTAGTTGAAGGTAAAGTGACTACTCAGAATGTCATTAAAGGTAATTGATGTCTTTGATGGGAAGTAATTAACTCAATGTAACTCTTCTCCCATCATGTAAATAGGTACCCAAATTCTGTTCCATTATATATTCTGCCTTAGTAACGAACCTCCTAGACCTGTGATCCCCCATGACCCTGCCACGGGCAGTACTGTTGGCCTGTAGGTACAAATTAGTAATTCCTTCCATTCTGTGCTTAGGATGCATATGTCAGTCCAGATCAATGGTTAGGTTTTCTAAGTCTCTGCAGGCACTTAATAAATGTTTGCCGACATAAACACTACATGTTGGCAATTTTTAATTGTCAAAATAATTTTACATGTTATCTCATTTAATCCTCACGGCAATGCTTTGCTGAAAGTATTAGTATCCTTATACTCAGTTAAAACAAACAAAAAAACCCTCCAAACCATACATATGCCCATAAAATAAACAACATCTGAGAGGAACGTGATCCTTAGCACAATCTATTATATGAAAGCAAAAGGGCAACATTTGTCCAAAAACAAAGATGAGAAGGCAGGAAGGGGCAGCAATTCAGGATGAAAGGAAACGAGGAACCTAGGATAGAAATGGCGGGAGGGCACATACATTGTACGGAATGGAACCAATGTCATGGAACACTTTGTACAAACTATTCAATGGGAAACTGATTTGCTATGTAAGCTTTCACCTAATACACAATTAAAAAAAACTAAACTAAAGCTCACTGGTGAACAAATCTTACTTAAATTCAATAAGACGTTAAGAGTCATCTTTTTAAAAAGTCATCTTTATATAAATATTCTGAAGGAATAATCAGAAAAACAAAGGTGTAGCTAAGTAACTCATATTCCTAGATATCAAACACTGGAACGCCCAATTAAAAATGCAGTTCAGTTCCACTCCAAATGTAAATGTTTCAGGTACTCAGATTTTTGTTCACCAAGATTTTATGTGTTAGTCTCAAACCTTGGACTGCTTCCTCTGGACAGTGGTCTTTGTGTGATGGACATGCAGTATGGGCACAGAGTTCACTGGCTACCTCATGTTCCTGACACAACTGGAATTCTGACTATCAAATGTTAGACAGTTGCCACGGATCTTACTAGAAGAGAGCCGTTTGTTCAATTACTGAGGAACAGCTGGGATGAGTTAAATGTGTCCTGGACTAGAGAATCTGCATGACCCAGCGTTGTGCTCCATCTCTTCCACTTACTGTGTGATTTGGGGCAAGTCAGGAACCTTATCAGGGCCTCAGTTTCCCCAAATGTAAAACTGAGATAATCCCTACTTTATAGGGTTGTGAAGATTTGTAAGATGTTATACATGAAAGAGTAACCTGTCAATGAAGATGAAAATAGAAGGTGTGATTGTTCTGAAAATATACTAAATGCCTATGTACTGAAGTAGACAACTTTTTTCAATCACTTGTTTTGTTTTCTTCCCCATATTCATTGTACGAAAAGAGGAAAAAGATCCATAGCTTCACAGTCAAACTTCCCTCAGCCTGTGGATGCTGAGGGACACTGAGGCTGGCCAATTTGCCTTTGCTAGGGTAGGCCCTGCACCATGGCGTGGGTTGGACCAAGACACACTCCACCCCTATGTTCCCCACCCTACCTTCCTGGATGCTATTCTGCAGGTGGTTGACGATGGCAGCCAGGATGGTGGAGAGGCTCATGACCTGGGCACACTGGGCCAGGCCGAGGGTGAAGAGCTCGTTCCAGCAGGCCCGCACCAGGCTGGTGTTGCAGTCCTGCCTGGTGACACAGAGAAGAGGAAGGGTGTGGGTGTGTGCTGGCACTTCTCCCAGGAAGGGGGCATGCAAGCACCAAGTCCCAGCATTCCCCAAACAAGGGGATTCAGCAGGTGTTTGCTGTAGGCTTATAGTATGTCCAGGTTCATTCTCTAAGAAAGCCACTATCTATGAATGCCCAAACTAAAGGCCCTCTGTCAATAAACTGATATCTCTTCTAAAACTTCTTTAACTTAAATAAAGAGAAATTTTAATAAGTATGGCCAAAATGTCATTTCCTGTTGTTGTCAGGTGCTGTTGAGTTGGTTCTGACTCTTAGAGACCCTATGTATAACAGAACAAAAACACTGCCCGGTCCTGCGCCATCCTCACAATCGTCGTTATGCTTCAGCCCATTGTTGCAGCCACTGTGTCAATCTATCTCATTGAGGGTCTTCCTCCTTTTCGCTGGCCCTCTACTATACCAAGCATGACGTCGTTCTCCAGGGACTGGTCCCTCTTGATAACATTTCCAAAGTACGTAAGACAAAGTCTCTCCATCCTCACTTCTAAGGAGCATTCTGGCTGTATGTAGTTCTTCCAAGATAGATTTGTTGGTTTTTCTGGCAGTCTATGGTATATTCAATATTCTTTGCCAACACTATAATTCAAAGGCATCAATTCTTCTTCAGTCTTCCTTATTCATTGTCCAGCTTTCACAGGCATATCAGGAGACTGAAAATACCATGGCTTGGACAGTCTTGGGGAACATCTAGCTCAACTGGCATAACACAGTTTATAAAGACAATGGTCTACATTCTACCTTGGTGAGTAGTGTCTGGGGTCTTAACAGCCTGTGGGCAGCCATCTAAGATACTGCACTGGTCTCCCCCTTTCGGGAGTAACGGAGAATGAAGAGAACAAGATACAAGGAAAAGATTAGTCCAAAGGACTAATGGACCACAGCTACCACGGCCTCCACCAGACTGAGTCCAGTACAGCTAGATGGTGCC